AACACCAGCGCCCTCTGAAAATGGTGTTAGTTTTATTGGAGAGAGATAGACATATGTAAAGATCAATGTAAAAGAAAAAGAGGGTCATATATGTAATTTAAATGGACCACCGAACATATTTTCCTATTAAGTTACACGTCTCTGTTGTCTCTGACCCAGTGCATATTTTGAGACATTTTTATTATTTTAGTTTTTCATTTATTGTGTGATATTTTTGAAATGGCTTCTGCACCTGATCAGAAAAGAAAGAGATGTGTCTATCGCCCTTGTCCATCTCAAACAGAGTAAACAGACAAAGGGACAAGTTATTTTGCATTTCCCATGGAGCCAGAAAGGTATGTCTTAAGAAAATACTTTCAATTTTTATATTTGACAACCAAATATTTATTATTTAAATGTCTGGAGGACAATTTTTACAATTTCAACAAAAATAATGTAAAAAATATATAATTTCTGAACTACCCTCAATCTAAACATTTGTTATCAACTTTTTTATATTTTAGGGCCAACATGTGGTTAAGAGCTTGTAATAGGGAAGATTTGAGTAACATAGATGTGAACAGTCTTCATCGGAATTACAGGTTGTGTGAGAAACATTTTGAGAAGAATTGTTTTTCTAAAACGTTGAACCGTAAACGTTTATTGCCTACTGCTGTTCCCACATTTTTTATCCATCTAGGTCATCAGCCAAATGTCTATCTTCTCCCTAGTACATCGACCAAGTGCTTCCTCTGTTGAGACTATCATTGAACATGAACGAGACATTTTTGAAAGCGTACCATGTGCAACCTTTGGACATTCTTAATCAAAAATCCTACCTCCAAATTATTATAATGAATTAGATGTTCTTTGATTCACTATGTCCATTGATTAAAAATGTTCTGATTGACTACATCTAATCAAAATATATATGTATTTCTTGTAAAGTAGCAAAAAGAAAACAAAAAAATGTATTTTGTGGTGTTATTATTTTAACTGTTTTTTAATTTTTGATTTGTTTCATTTATACAATATTTAAGCACTTAAACAATAATATATATAAACTTATAAATAGTTGTATGATATATATACGTTAGGGAAATTAGGACAAGGATGATTAAATTCTATTTCTTTCATAATATCAAAAAAATCTATGCGATATACCAGACATTACACAGGTATTGCTAAAAATAGATATAACATTTTTTTATAATTTAAATATATAGATAATAAACTTTTCATTTGGAGTTTTTAGGCCTCCATAAGTGCTTTATTTGCAATCATATGTTAAAATCTGTGAACTATCCAAATCTTCACATTCTTTTGAAAATTTAATAAATGTATTACATCCATGTATGCCTAAAGCTTTCTTGATCAAATAGCCACAAACATATTTAAATGGATTTTGAACTATTATATCTTCTGTCCTGTAGCTGTAATTAGGAAGAAACACAGCTTCTCGAGTGTTTTTATTTATTTCAGGATACAGAGAGACAATATTTTTTACATCTAATTGTAGCAAGTGTTTGTCCAGGTCTTCATTACAATTCATGGAATTGCAATGAAGATAATTTGGACAAAAAAGTTTTTTAAATGCCCTTTCGAATTGTACAGGTGTTGGATTAATTAAATTCCCACCCTGTTGCCTAATGGACACAACAAATTTTTCTAGACAGTCACTGTTGATTCTTCTAGCCATTAAATATTTAAATCCCGCAGCAGATAACCTTTCCCATACAAATTTTAAACCATAAAATCGTTAAATATAAACATCTAATTTTTATGATGTGACGTTAATAGTATTTAATTATATACATAGGTAATATAAGCAATTGGGCAGCATTGTGCTTAACGGGTGACTTACAACAGGCATTTGCTAAAACTCATCTGAAGTCAAAAATTTGTACGTAGGAACAAAAATTGAAATAAAATAATTCTTGTATTGTAAATTCATTAAAAACTTACTAATTTGTAATTGTGTGTTTTAATAAATATTATTGTTATATGTTGTTTCACTTGTAAAAAGATACCTACATAACCTCATTTTAAATAAAAAAATAAGGTGCAGAGTTAATTTATTAGTTCCAGGAAGAAACCAAAAAATGTTTAACACATTTCATACAATGAATGGCATACAAAAGTAATTTATTTTAATCTAATGATAAAATTTTAAAATTGGCACATCTAGATTTTCACCGGAACTCATTTATTTAAGTTACACAATATTTTGATTAATTTATTTGCCTAGAATACATTAAAATGTTATATGTACATGTTTTAATTTTTTTCTAAGTGTACATCGCTAATTTGCAATTTTAGAGTTTACTTTTCTCCGTGTAGAAATAAGCGACAAAAACGTCAACTGTCATTGAAAATCTGACCACCCCGACATCAAAGAAGCCGACGCAATCTGTCGCTACTGTATTGTTCTTTATACTGGGCTTTTGATCTCAATGGCTGCGTTCATCCGCGCCACATGCTACCTGATCGATCTGGTAGCGCTCTCGAGTGGCACGTATGAACGGTGTATTTTGACATTTCGCTCAAGGAGCGGCCGCCATTAAAAGTAGCGCATTTTATTTACCAGGGGTGCTATTTTCAAAGTCGAGAGAATTCATTTCTCTCGAGAGAAATGTCATACGTCAGCGTAAAACAGTATTTTTAGGGTCCTAAGGGCCAGTGTGAACTCACTGATTGTTTCTCACGGTTTATTTAGAGATAATTAATATCCTCATAAGAATTTTAATCCTCGAGGCCTTTAAAAACAGCGTTTCCACATTGACGTATGACATTTTTGATGAGAATCTTGAGAGAAATGAGTGCTCCCATACTTTGAAAATAGCCCCCCTGATCGGTGATCACTGATCTGTCTTACGCACTTACGTCCACGGTTTGCTTGGTGACTAGTAGGGTTATATTAGCAATTGAAAAATAAACAAACCACAAATAAACAAACAAATCTTCAACCAGAGACATTCAACTCAAAAGTAAAATAAATAAACCACACAAATGTCACTTTTAAACATGGTTCATCCGTGCATAAAGATCGATCAGGTAGCGTAAGTGATCGCTACTTTTGTAGCGCTCCTTGAAATGGCGCGGATGAACGCAGCCATGTTTCAGTTTATACACTGTGCAACTCGGATAATAGAATATATGACAACAGCCTATAATAAAACAGCAGTCTTCTGCGTATCCTGAATTTGTATCCCTGAAGTGGATGTTATTTTGGAACTTTCAACTGGTCCGAGTGAGCTAACTGATTCTTTAGCAATAAACTGTGACTTCAAAAATAATATTCACTGACACTGACAGCAGCAAGCAAACTATCAGGTGCGTTTTAGGTCCGGTTTTTCAATCTCCGGCTATTTAGGATAGCTGGCAGCTACGGAGATAGCCGTCAGCCACTGCCTGTCAAAACGTTTATCGACCTCCAGTTATACGATAGCCGTCAGCTATTCTGACTGTAACCGTAACCGACACTTGCAAGTGGTAATTTCGTACAGATAGCCGCCAGCTTTTTATTGTACATGCGTAAGACGATGTTTGTTAAATTTAGATGTTAATATTTTTATTAATTTTATTTCTGAAAAATGGGTTTCTTTGAATATATTCACAGCGACGATGCCAAAAAATAAATTATTTAAATTATTGAATATTAATCAATGATGACCGTGTAATCCGTGTGTTGTAAGGGAACGGCCCATTTATTTCGATATCGATGAACTGAATTTTATTTTTTTTTTGTTTTTTGTGTCATCGGCATCAACTGCTATGGTTATTAGCCTCGTGTTCTGTGTAGACTTTGTAACTGTTTCCCAGCGCCACTTTAGGAACAACACTGTTAATTAGTACCCAACAGTAAATGGTCGAGTGGGGAATCATACCATTCACTGTTGGGTACTAATTAACAGTGCTGTTCCTAAAGTGGCGCTAGGAAACAGTAACAAAGCCTACACAGAACACGAGGCTAATAACCATAGCAGTTGATGCCGAATTATTAAATTTTAGATTATTCTGCAACCTTCTCATTTCGTTTCCGTGATATTGCATTTTCCGTTTTTTTTTACATTTTGTAAGATAACCAAATTTCAATAGTAGGGCTCTATCTGATTCCTCGTAATTAGATATTTTCTCTTTTTTCTAAATCACCAATTGCCCAAAAACAGAAAATAACAAGATCTTAAAGAAAAATGAAAGCAAAATAGAACAATTTTTATGTGAAGGTCGGTGACGATCAACACAAGACACGATATGTAAAACGGAAAATTTAAATTATCCAATAAAAACCATTTAACAAATTAGCAGAAATGCCAACCTGTCTAAGAATAAATAAAAACTATTAGACTACGTAGCTAGCAGTTAAATTCGTGATGAAAAACACTTCCATCCATATTCCATCGGTAACAGGGACTTTGACTGCCAGCTAAATATAGCTGTCGGCTACGTAACAGCCACTTTGACTGGACATTGAAAAACCGACCCTAAATCTGACAAACAACGTCCTACGCAATACGCATGTACAATAAATAGCTGGCGGCTATCTATACGAAATTACCACTTGCAAGTGTCGGTTACGGTTACAGTCAAAATAGCTGACGGCTATCGTATAACTGGAGGTCGAAAAACGTTTTGACAGTCAGTGGCTGACGGCTATCTCCGTAGCTGCCAGCTATCCTAAATAGCCGGAGATTGAAAAACCGGACCTAAAACGCACCTATTAAAAATATTGCGCCAAGATGTAGGCAACACGTAATAAGGGTTCAAAATGGCGGAGTTTTCTATCTCCTTTTAAAAGGCACTCAGAAAGCTGCTCAGTGCGACCATTCTCCGTATAGTAAAAGAAAATCAAAGTATGTGTTTAAAAGGCACTCAGAAAGCTGCGAAGTGCGACCATTCTCCGTATAGTAAAAGAAAATCAAAGTATGTGGCCTAAATCACATATAAATACGGGGCCGTCAATTGTTGGGCCGACAAATAGGTTAGGTAACTTAAAATCCAAATAGGAATAGGACAGATTTTTTTTTAAATAGAAGACTGTGAGTGGTTAAGATAACGAAAAAGGCAATTTAAAACAAAAAAAAGTTCCGTGCTTTGTTCGATGGAAAAAAGAAGGAATATTTTTATGAGAAAATGAATATTAAAAGTATTTCTAAAAAAATACCAACCCCAGTAGTGGTCGGTTCAACTTTAATGGGAGGATTTGGACTCGCTTGTTTAATAAAGTAAATCAATCTCCATTATCATTCAGAATGTCATTTTCAATTTTTAGGGAATATATTGGAGGCCTAAGATATCAAGGACTGGACACTTCTCGTGCAGAGGGCAAAGTTATTATAGTAACAGGTGCTAACACTGGAATAGGAAAAGAAACGGCATGGGAACTCGCAAGAAGACGAGCAAAAGTTTATATGGCATGTAGAGATATGCAAAAATGTGAAGCTGTACGTTTTTCAAAATCTCCTATTAATAATTAGAGATTAATTAGGAAAGAAAGCGACAGATTGGTCAATTTAACTATGTGTCTAGTGAGCTTTGACTCAATTATGGACAGGATTATGTTAATCCCTTACTTTCTTAATTTGTATACACATAAAGATGTCAAAGGAGGCAGCAGAACACCTAGGGAATTTTGAGTTAAAACCTACCTATGGCATATTTTTAGGCTATTTTTATCCAAAATTCAAAAATTTTATGTTTATTTTTTACAAAAATCAAGTTGCTGGGTAATGTTGTAGTTGACAGGTCTAGAAATTACTCGCGTATCGGGGACAACACCAATCATTTGTAATTGCTGTGGTGGGAGGTGTTTGTGTGAATGCGTCTTGTTTTCATTTACGCCGTGATTAGCAGTAGTATTTTATAAACCTTAGAAGCAAAGTTCACATACATGAACAAATAATAATGCCCTGACAACAAGAAGACGAAGCAACAACGACTTCTCGTAGGGTGGCGGATTTCAATCCATACCTAGCTACGCCGACCGGCATAAACAGCAACGGCCTGGAAACAGCTCACCTACTCTGTCAAAAAGAGACCAATGTACAAATAAAATGCATAAGACCAGACCATTCAACTACAACATTACCAGTTGCTCTGCTAGCTTCGAATGAATCTAGCAGAGCATCTCGGTTTTTAAAGCTTCTTTCTAAAAACAACCACACCAAATTTTTAGGCTATTGCTTCAAGTGAATGCAGCAGAGCACCTCGTTTTTTTAAAAACAACCACACCTCATTTTTAGGCTATTTTTAGTCTCTTGAAGTAGGTATTGTAAACTTTAGAGAAAAAAGTGTTGGAACAAAGTCAGCAGAACGCCACGGTTTATTAATTTTTTTCTGAAATAACTTCTTATGCTACATTTTCAAGCTATAAAAATTTTAAAAAAATTCGAAATTTTTAAAAAATACAGTGTGCTTTGCTAGTTTTGAACGAATCCAGCATATTTCAAGAGCCTAAAAATAGCTGTAATATTTAAAAATAAGATTTTTTTAAAGTTTATAATTTTTTAAGTCTAAAAGTAGCCTAAAAATGTGGTGTGGGTGTTTTTAGAAAAAAAGCTTTAAAAAACCAAGGTGCTGTGCTAGCTTCGTTCGAAGCTAGCACCTTGTATTTTTTAAAAATAACAATTTTACTCAAAAAGCTTTATAATATTTTAAGAGCCTAAAAATTTAGTGTTGTTGGAAAAAACTTAAAAAAACTAAGGTGTTCTGATCATTTTGTTCGAAGCTAGCAGGTCACCTTGATTTTTGCAAAAAACGAGGAGCATAAAATTTTTGTATAGGCCATAAAAATATCCTAAAAATATAGCATAGGTTTCAACTCAAAATTGCCTAGGTGATCTGCTGCCTTCTTTGACATCACATAAAGTAGATTATTAACACCTTAACTGTCCAGTGATGAAGAAAATTCGGGTCACTAGGAGTCCAGTTTAAATAATTCCCATATTATGTTTATTCTGGTTCATATGTTATGTACCTAGACAAAATAAAAAAAAAGCAGTACCTATTGTAATTTTTTGACTTTTTTGGTGGAACAACTGTACCAAGGACACTAACTGCTAGTTTTTATGCCTTTGGGCCGCATGTTATGAGCAGTTATCTACAGCAGCGTTTCTCGAAGTGTGCTCAGCAAAAAATAATAGTCATAATAAAAAAAAACTAGTAAAGGAGTAGTATGAGGAAGTTCGTCACAAAAGGGAGAACAGGGTTTGAGGACCCTTTTTTTAGATTTCACTGACATGATCTAATTTAAAGTAAAATAAAACCTAAACCAATATAAAGTTTAAAAATATCTATTTTTATTTTATGACTACATCAAATATTTCACTTTTCAAAAGGGTTCCGTCGCTAAAAAAGTTTGAGAAACGCTGGTCTACAGAATTTCTCTATTCATTTATATCTTTAAATCCACGTAAATGTTTTTCAATCACCTTCACAAGATCAAAAAACCCTATAAATTTTCTTTATAATATCAATAATACTGTTTTGGAGAAAGTTAGTGAAATCAAGGATCTAGGTGTGATCATTGATTGTTCTTTGACATTTGTCCCACACATGAGATCCATCATTAGTAGAGCTCTGAAAACATAGGGATTTGTGACCAGGAACTCTAGGGAATTCTCTGTGCCTACATTCTGAACCCTTTACCTAACACTAGTGCGCAGCATCCTCTTATATGCTTCACCAGTCTGGTCACCTCATTACCCTACTCATATTTTAAATTTAGAAGCCATTCAAAATAGGTTTCTAAGAACTTGTCAGTGGAGGTTACATATGCCTTATCTTTCTAAGAGGGAGCTTAATAACCATTTAAACTTATTGTCAGTTGAGAAAACGTTAATTAGTAATGATCTTTTATTTCTTTATAACCTCCTGGAAGGGAATATAGCTTGTCCGGATATGTTGGAGTTAATAAACTTTAGATTAAACTACATAATTATTAGAGAGAAACCATTATTTTCAATTAGCTTCCATCATACAAACTACGGACTCAACAGTCCTTTAACCAGATTTCAAAGGCAAGGAAATGAAATTAACAGACTCACTGATCTTTTGGGAGTTAGTCGGTTTAGGTTTAAAAATTAGCTGAGGGCGTACTTATCGAGTTAGCTTTATCTCTTAAGTTTTTTTTTCTAAGTTTTTTTGTGATATTTAAGTTTTTTTCTTTTTTGTGTGATACTTTAGGTTAGGTTTAAAATATCTACTGATAATAATTATTTTGTGAAAGGAGATTTTCCGTAAATAAATAAAATAAGATATAGGTTGGATGAATATTTCTCTGGGTTTCGCATATACGTAGTTATCCAGTTTTTTATTTAAATAATTAAAATACTGCATACATTTTAAATTTACAGTTAGATTTTAGGCTAGAGAAGAAATCGTGTTGGATACAAAAAACAAGTATGTTTACTGTAGACAGTGCGATCTAGCATCGTTGGAATCGATTAGAGAATTTGTAAAAAACTTTAAATTCCAAGAAAAACGATTAGACGTTTTAATTAACAATGCTGGAGTAATGAGAACTCCCAATACGAAGACAAAAGATGGATTTGAACTTCAGTTAGGCGTCAATCATATGGGACACTTTTTATTAACAAATTTATTACTGGATGTATTAAAAGTGAGTTATAATGTCCAGAGGGTTAAAAAAAAACTTGTAGGCATCATGTTTTAGGACTCCACACCTAGTCGAATAATAAATGTTTCTAGTGTGGCTCACAAAAGGGGAGTGATAAACAAAGAAGACCTAAATAGTGACAAATCTTATGATCCATCTTCAGCATATGCTCAAAGTAAACTAGCGAATATTTTATTTACAAATGAATTAGCAAAAAAATTAGAAGGTTAGTATGTTTAAAAATATTATTTTAATTAACTCTCTACAACCATTCAAAAAATATGATGACTTTCTTGTAAAGTTATTAAATATATTGAGTATGGTTCATCTAATCAAAATATGTTTAGAGTATGAATTAAAATAAACATTTTTTTCATATCTTCATTGCCAAAGACAAAAAATTCTGAAAATTTGCTGTTATTTTCTTCTATAATCGTAAATAACAGAAATATACCTCATGGTAAACAAATTCATCCTATAAAGTACCCCTTCAAATGCTCCGACCATGCCCAAAATATCTTCAGCTCATCACAGGATGGTGTTTTTGAAAATATAGCATGGATACTGACATCATTGCGAAAATTATCAAAACGGATGCAAATTACCCCAAACCGTAAGGAACCGTTAAAAATTCGAGTTTAAAAAAATCATGATTCCTATACTTTTCTTACTGGATATAGAAAAGTAAAAAAAATGAATGGCATTTGTTGATTCACAACAATATTTATACATTTTCAACACAAGTTCCTCAAAAAATTGATACTATATACGTCCTACTAAGTACCAGCTCTAATCTAAATGTTACTTTAAAACACTCTTAATCAAAATAAATACCTAAGTAACATTAAATGGCAATTTAAGTGATGAAAATTCTAGGAAAAAATTCACAAATGTGCAGACTAATCATTCATTGAGTGTAAATTGATTTTTATAAAACAGGTATACTTACTCCTAATACTAAGGGTTTAAAAAAATCCTTTATTATCCAAACAGACCTGTGGTCCAATTACAGGATAAAATTTAATTCAGCAACAAGTGTTTATAATAATAATAATTATTATTATTTAATACTTAATTAAAACTTAGGTACACAAACGAATATTCAGTACTTTTACTTATTTTTAAGAAAATTGATAACATTTTGTTTGAACCTATATAAATTTGTGGAGTATAACATATAACTAACTCAAGCTCATTACATAATTTATTGAATTTGCAAATATAGGAGATTTTATAAACACATCTCTTCTTGGAAATGGTAAATAAAAACATACTTTTGTAAAAAAAACTAGGTTGCAAAATTAGGGTGAAACTAGATCATTACACTAGATTGTAAAACTAAATTCTCATTAAAATTTTTGAAATAAAATTATTTTCGAGATTAAATTTTCCAGAGGGAGATTTCAACAGAAAAATGGCAATCTTTTAATTAATTTTTTTCTTCATCAACATTTTTTTCTTTTAACTTTGGCTGAGTATCATTTTCAGTTAGGCCAAAATTGACAATATTGTAATTCCTGGACTGTCAATTCGCTCATGATATCTGTTAGAACTTTTTCCTCTCGGTTTTAATCATTTATAGTCGGGAAGTTCATTTTCACCTTGAGTTTTTTTAAATCATCTTTAGGACACCATTTCAAACTGTTCAACTTTCTTCAAATGTTTGCCTAGTTTTTCATTTTCCTGTTGAATGAGAGCAAGTTAGCATTGCAGTTTTGAATCCAAAAAATAAATCTTCATCTTAGTTGACAATGTTTGAAGATTTACTTATAACACTTGTTGTTTGCCATCCGAATTAGGGGGTTGCATTTATAGCATAGAAATTGTTTGCCTTTGAAGTCCTTCAATTCATCAGCATATAAATGAATTTCACAATCCCTGTGCAACCAGCCTGTGCATTTGTTGCACTTAATGTAATTATTTTTTTTATAACACACGCATTTGATGCATGACATTAGGGATAGTAAAACAATTCAGAATAATATTTAAATATGAATCTTACCTCGTATATTGGCACGATCTCTTCTTATCTTATCACCAATGCTATTAGGCCACTTTTTGTTAAAATTTAAAAAACTGCAATTTTAAAAAGATTAAAAACAATAACTTGTATTACAATTTTGGAAATATGAAAATCCCCAATTCCCTCTAGGAAATTATGAAAATACAGCTCTATATCCCCAAAGTGAAAAAACCAAAAAATTTAAAAATCTGAGAATTAAAGAAAGAAAAAATGAGTGCATCGACCAGGTATTGAACTTAGAATTTTCGGACTGTAGCCGTCCACATACTCTTCAGTCAGTTAGTCAATCAGATTCCGAGTCTGGTCGACACAAATTCTAATCCGATCCCTTATGACTAATTTGGTATCTCCGATGTCATCATCTGCTTTTCACACTTTTTGTTAATGATATGGAACAAGTGTAAATTTAACTAAAAAAATCAATTAAATTATTGTTCTCTTTTACAGGTACAGGTGTAACCGCCAACAGCATGCATCCCGGCATAGTAGACACTGAAATAATTCGGCATATGGGTTTCTTCAACAGTTGGATATCGAAAATATTTCTCAAACCTTTCGTGTGGCCTTTTATAAAAAACGCCAAGCAAGGAGCCCAGACTATTATATATCTAGCCTTAGATGACAGAGTAGAAAAGACGACAGGAAAGTATTTTAGGTAAATGAAAAACAGAAAATTATCTGGAACATTTTTAATTAATGCGTAATTTTTTTTTAGCAATTATGAAGAAGTTGAAGTAAGTTCTCAAGCCAAAGATGAGAATACTTCTAAATGGTTGTGGATGACTAGCGAAAAATGGACTAGGTTGTAAGAAATGATGAATTTTGTGGATTTTTATTAAAATATACTTAATATGTTCTTAATTCTTTGTCTGTTCCCTCATGAACGATCTAAAACTGGGTGGGATTCAATGTAAGAGTTTTTCTCGTCTCCAAAAAAATACATTTTATACTTATTGTTATGCCGATTATTTATCTCAGGCGTCAGTTTTATTCATTCGACATCAAAAAGTCTGGTAGTACCAGATGGAGATAGGAAATATTTAAGGTTAAATGAGGAGCCGATGACGCCGCTTTCGCTTTGGTATTTTTTCTGGAAACTTACCGGCTATAGGGTCTATTCTAAAAGGATTCGTTTATATTTTAACAGCCGTTAAAATATTGACGGCCTTTAAACATACTTTCTTATTCGCTAACTTGCTTCTGTCCCAATATTTAAATGATAAATGATCATTTTTAAAGAAGTATTAAATTGAACCTTTTACTTTTGACAAAGTAAAAGGACGTTTTAAAATGTAAATAGAGAAGTTTTAATTAAAGAATTATTAGAAATTGAACAAAATTAAGTACATAACATTTTTAATGTAAAGCTATTACATTTAATATTTCAGGGCAGAATTTAGATGACAACAAAGGTCAATTAAGAGGTTTAAGCGACCCGTTCCAATGCAATTGTCAAATGTAGCTTTTAAAAATATATTTTTCACTTTAATAAAAATGTGGCCAGAATTATAATAAACCTTATATACCCAAATATCAGAAATACAACAGGATATCTACAGGACGTATATAATTATTCTCAGCCAACTATGAGTAGAGCCATTACAGTCTACATCTAGCCATGAACAAACCAAAGCAACATCGCGGTAAATAAAACATCGTCTATGTGCTACGAAATGAGGTGAAATAGGTATTTAAACACTCATGTTCATATATATATTTATTCACTATTTTATACATACAACATATTTATAGCACGTCAGAAAATTTAAAAATATTAATTACAAATAACAGTACATTTTGAAACATGAGTTAAAAAAAAATTACAATAATACAAAAAAAATATTATTTAATAAAGGGATATGGATACCCAACTCCTTATATATTTATATTACAGAACTCCTCAAGAAAATATGGACATAATTCCACTAGGAGATCTTTTAAAGATTTATTAAATTTCTGAGTTAACATGGAACCGTAATCATGGTAATGTGTTATATATTTATATTGGCAGAAAATAGTAAATTTGTGTCATCTGCATATGATGTAACAAAGGCATCCGAAATAGTGTTAAATTGTTTACATAAAGGATAAACAGTACTGATCCCAAAATGGGTCTTAATCACAGATTTTGGATTATTTTAACGTAACGGTAATTAAGAAGATTAATTTTAGTTTTAAAATATATTTCTATACTATCGACCTTCTCAAACTTAATTTACTCGAACGTCCGCTGTGTTTTTTCTTTCAGTTTGTGATTTTCTGGAAATAGATGCAGGTTTTGACAAATATTTAAGCAGATTTCGAAAAATGCAGAGGCCATGCATTTGGTTAAAGCTTAGCTTTTGCAGGAATTTTTATTAAATTTTCATCAGCTTGCAAATATTTATCATCCAGTATAATTTCACTGTCATGAAACAAACTGCCGCTGTTTTTGCAGGAATAAAATTAGCCATAGGAATTGCATTTAACCATTTTTGTCTTAAATTATTGTCCTTCGTAAACTAAAAAAGGGACATTAGCTTTCCACTTTTTTTTTGTTTTAAAACACTATTGTAAGTGGATGTAGAGCCCGGAATAGAGCTTTATTAAAGTTATTATCTACCTTGTAACGAGTCAACAACGGGCCACCAAATACTTTTTAAAACTTATTTTAATTAACAACCCCTTTATTTCGGTAAGATACTCTATCACAAATAAAAAATCACAAACTTTCGGCTCTAGGTATATTAATACACATTTTTAACAACTAATTAAAGAAAACTTTTTAATTTCACTTAATTTTTCAAAAAAAAAAAAAATCGCTGGCAAACAACCCTTTACGCTTTATGTACATATTTATCTTTGCTATGCTAGAATTAGTCTGTAGCTACAGATGAAGTGACCAATGTATTATAATGTTAGCCTACAGTAGCCTGCAAGCACCTAGAAGACTACAATGTCCCAAACAGAAAGAAGTAGCAAATATGATACAGGACATGATGGATGCAAATATTATTGAAGAAGCTTCTGGCCCCTGGTGCTCACCTGTTGTCTTAGTAACTAAGAAAGACGGATCTACTCGTTTCTGTGTAGACTATAGAAGATTAAATCAGATAACGCAAAAAGACAGCTACCCACTCTCCCGAATAGATGACACACTAAACACTATATCAGGTGCAAAATGGTTGTCCACGCTAGACTTGAAGAGCGGATACTGGCAACTGGAAGTACATCCAAAAAAGCTTTTTCAACTGGCATTGGATTATACAGATTCCAGGTTCTCCCGTTTTGGTCTCTGTAATGCCCCAGCTACCTTTGCATGATTAATGGAAATGGATCTGAAAGGATTAACCTGGAAAACTTGTCTAATATATCTCGATGACATAATGATCATGTCAAAAACTTTTGATGAACATCTACTAAATTTGAGTGAAGTATTTGACAGATTAAGAAATGTCAAGAGACAAAAGGGAAATTAGGACTTTTCTTGGACTGTGCTCATTTTACCGGAAATTCGTCTAAGACTTTGGCCGAATTGCTAAACCCCTTCATCGACTAACTAATCTATTTGATTGGACGCCGGATTGTCAAAATACCTTCACCGAGTTAAACAAACGATTGACCACGGCACCCATCCTAGCGTACCCTCTGGAAAAAGGACAATTCATTTTAGACTGCGACGCATCCCAACACGGCGTAGGCGCCGTGCTATTCCAAGAACAGGAGGAGGAAGATAAAGTAATTGCGTATTTTAGTAGGACCTTAGGAAAAGCTGAGAAAAATTATTGCGTCACAAGAAAAGAACTTTTGCTATTGTCAAAGCCCTTGAACACTTCCATACTTACCTTTTTAACAGAAGTTTTATCATTAAAAGTGACCATAGCGCCTTGCAGTGGCTGATGAATTTTAAAAAACCTGAAGGACAAGTTGCTAGATTGATAGAAAGACTGGAACAATATAACTTAGAGATATAGTGCATCAAAGGAGCCGTCTTCATAACAACGCAGACATTCTTTTCAGGCGACCCTGTTTAGAACGACAATGCCGGTACTGTAAAAGACTTGAAGAACGATAGGAGCTGGTTAAAGAAGTTAGTCTTTAGGCGACCACTTTCCAGCCAGAGGATGATGATGACAGAATCATCCTTGAAAGCCTAAGAAAGACTCAAAAGAAAGACAATGACTTGAAGGTTCTCCGAGAATGGCTCAAAAACGGAGTCAGACCTACATGACAAGAGAACCAAATATAGTGGAACTATTAAAGGGTACTGGACTCAGTGGGATTCCCTGTATCTTCTCAATGGTTTACTGCACCAAAACTGGAAGAGCCCCGAAAGAGTGCATGTAGTCCGCCAAGTGATACTGCCGAAATCACAGGTCAGAAGTTTGTTGGAGGAGCTTCATAGCAGCCGTTCAGGAGGGCACTTTGGTACTAAAAGGACACTTGCACGAGTTCGGGAAAGATTTTATTGGGTCAATTGCCAACGGGATGTAGAAGATTGGTGTAAGGAATGTGACCTTTGTAATGGCAGAAAAGGGTCCAAAACAGGAAGTCGAGGTGAAATGGTACAGTACTTTTCGAACGAATCGCCATAGATATTCTCGGACCACTTCCCTTAATAGAAAAGGGAAAAAAGGGGCCCGAAATAGCGCCTGTTCCTAATCAGGAAGCGACGACAGAAGCGGAAGCATTTATGACGAACGTCATTGCGGGACACGGAGTCCCCCTGGAATTGCTTTTGACCAAGGACGAAATTTTGAATCTAAATTATGGCAAGAATTGATGAAACTGTTAGGCATCAAGAAAACACGGAGTACGCCTCTCCATCCACAGTCCGACGAAATGGTAGAAAGACACAATAGAACCATATAGTGCCAGTATCTCTCAATATTCATCTCTGATAATCAAAAGGTCTGGGACACTTAATTCCTCCATTTCTGCTAGCCTACCGAAGTTCTGAACATGAAAGTTCGGGACGTTTTGGAATATCCAACTGATAGGTATTAATGAAGTATTTAATGGAGTACAATACATATTAATTTTAAGCAGAATTATTTTGTATTGTAGAAATGTAACAGATCAGTTATTATTAGCCTTACGATACTATGCAACAGGTAGCTTTTTAGAGGTTTTGGGTGATTGTTGTGGAGTATCAAAGTCTACTGCGTGTAAAATGTAAGGAGAGTTTCACAGGGTATATTAAGATTAAGGCCCACTTACATAAGGATGCCTGAAACTGTGAAAGAAATTAATCATTATTATAGCGGACTTCACGATCTTTTAAAGCAATAATAAATGCTTACCTGCATTTCCATCCCATGAACAGTGGGTTGACAAATAATCACATGTACTTCTGGACATTGAAATGTCTGAAACTGATAATTTATTAATTTAGGTTTTAAAATAGTATTAAAATAACATCATAATCTCGCAAAGGTATTGTTAGAAATGAAGGGGGGTATAATTATTAATTGAAATTAAAAATCCAAATATAAGTAGACACTACCATAATCTTATGAATATTGAATACAAAAGCACAAGTAATGACGTAATTAGTAGCCAGTAATTCTGCACAGAGAGATCGACCACGTTGATTGTACTTTTCAGAACGATTCATGTGAAACACCAACAAGATGCCGACGAAAAGCCGGGGTATTCACACATTGTCATCAATAAGTGCTTATCTCCCTGACCAGAGGCGACTCTAGGTAAAATTTCTAACAATAATATATATCTGTGTGAGGTTTAAAGGACTTTTTGTTATAGATATATCTTTGTGAAATTCTAAGGATTTTTTATTGTAGATATATTTTTGTGAGATTTAAAAGAATTTAAATTTTTCTCCTTTACAAAATAACTTATACATAGCTACTCTCAATATC